TGGTGTGCTGTGCATGGTTATTCGTTTTGTGAAGATTGGATGTGAAAAGAACTACGTCGAAAAAAGTTATAAAAATTCAGAACTTACGTAACTTCATTGTTAAGTGGGCGGAGTCAGATCTGTATAGGTATCAATCTTTTTCAGTTGAAGTGTGTGTGCAAAGGGCAAAAACGAAAAAAAGTCGAGGGAGCAGATTTCATGAAGCATCTCGGAAAACCCTGTCCGCGCTGAGAAGTGGGCGGGGATAATGGGGCGGGGCTTGCAACAGTACCTAGTGTGGTCTAGTTATCAACCACCTAATTGTAAGGGGTGTGTCCGATTTGATTTGAAAAGTGTCCGATTTGGTTTGAAAAGTGTCCGATTTGGTTTGAAAAGTGTCCGATTTAAAGTGAAAATGGTATATATTCGGGGCATCTATTGAGAATGTACAGACAATGACTGAAGTAACAAATGAGCCACTCGGAGACTTCAGAGGCTTGCCTAAAAGGGGTAAATAGCACACCTACTGGTCCCACTTGGAGTTATACTTCATTGGAATCGGAACGGTAGTTCACAAAGCGAAGAAACGAAGCAGTTTTCGAAGGCACGGTCCGCGATCAGGTATCGAAGTTGAAAATATGGCGTCAGGAAGTAGTGTGGTCCGCGACGAACAACCTTGTACCGGTTTCGCGGCAAAAATTGCAAGGGAGGGGCGCTATAGCGCAATATTGGTTCAGTGACGCCTCCTTTTCTCCAGTGACTCCACCTCCAAATTCCCCTTTACAGGTCCGCCTTACAGTGAAAAATGAAGCTGCAGGACCAAAAAAAAACATAAAAATTGTCACTTGTATGGTCATAGAGTTCTATCGGGGAATCAGCAGGGCGGTTGAGGGTGTAGTGTATGAGACGGAGTCAGTCGGGGATCGGGCACACCGTTGTTGGGGAATCCCCAACAGGAGGGGGTCGTATTTGGCCGCCAGGAAAGGGGGATCGTAAGTGCGGTAGCCAGTAACGAGCATCAGTGTGCGAGTATTCTGGTTCGCTGCGGATGATGGGGCGTGTCCGCGATCGCGCTTGGCGCTGAGCCAACCTGTTTTTTTTCGACAAACGACAGGACTACCATATCGTTCGTATCAGACGTTTTCCAGCAGTTGGTCTCCTTTCATTCAGCAATTGGCGGAGCACGAATCTGGCAGCGTCGACAGGGACATGTTCCATCATACGCAATGGAAAACACTGTAAACAAGTGCACAGGTTCGCCATGGACCTCCCTGAATCTATCTAGACCACTATTTGCTCGCGTGGGACATTACGCACAAGTTACACCATCCATCACTTCTGCGCGGACCTCAGTGCGCGGCGCATCCAAAGTCAGCGTGATCGGCGCTAAACGAACCATATTCTGCTCCTGCTCCACCACAGGATACGTTTTTCATGCGTTTTCGAACACGGCTCACTTGAAACGGTACACAGGAAACGGTTTTTCGCGCAGCTGGGAGTGTTCCCCAAGAAATCCCCATCGCGAGATCTCATGAATCCCGAGAACTTCAGAAACAGTTCAAGAGGTTTTTAGAAAGAGAAAATCTTCAAACACTCTTCCCTCGTACCTCGGCCTTCAATCAGCTGATTGCGGCTCGTTTGCTCTCGTTCATATTTACTCTTTCGTGTTTATCTTCTTCTCGGTTTATTCGAATATCGAATATTTTCTTCTTATTAGTTATTAGCTCCGAAATACGCTCAGAGCGAGCCAAGAAATTTCGCGTTGACCGCGCAAGTGCTTTTAGGAGAAGTTGGCTTAATTTCCTGTTTTTTTTCTTTAATTGCAATTGATTCAGGTACCAGAGTTTGTTTTGACTCGAGGAAAGGTGGGTGAAACCTAATGGCCTTTCTTTTCTATTCTCTTTTCTGAATCAGGATAGAAATGCGCAAAAAGCGAGGGGGACCTTGTTCAGGACTGTCCACTTGTTCTATTTTTCCGCGTTTACTTATACACTGACCACTTTGTGAAGTTTCTTCCTCTCGGGGGGGGGGGGGGGGGGAAGAGAACTCAAGGTTTGTGTATAGGGGAGAGGTCGTACCGAACCTCCAAAAAGGGGCGAGGGTGGTATGGGCTCGACCAAAATCCCCAACTAATGCTGTGCCCTGGTCGGGGATCGGGACATGAATGTGAACGCCGTATGTGAACTCCTAATCCACTATCTGTGATGACGACTTGTCGCGTTTGCCTTATTTGTCCACAACAGTGCCTATCCTGAGTTTCCTCTGTTCTATGAGAGAACAGATAAAACTGCATACTTTTACTGTACTATTTCAGTTGTTATTTTCGATCATATAGATGTTGCAGAACCCACCGCAAATGATATCAAGAGCGCACCGCTTGACGAATATGGAAAAAATGTCAAACTCTTCGCCATCCTTGGCAATCCTTTCCAATTGATTAATGAAAATCTGAAGTAAATCTGTCTTCTATGAGATCAACAAACAGCTGGACGTCCACTCACAAACCTTCGCTTGTCTGTCGTGCACAGCCTGGAAATCGTTTAACACTTTGAAGTGGAACGAGGGAGTGAGAAGTTTTCGCCTCGTTCGCCATTTCTCCCCTGAAAGATAATTACACTTGGGACGATAATTTCCCCTTTCACTAACCAAGAAATATGACTTTTTGTAAAGATTCGCAGCGAGATAAGAACTCGAAGCTGAGTATGAAGAAGCTCTTGAGTGGGAGAACCAGCAATTTATGATAACTCTATTCGATGTTAACGGATGGTCCCATTTTGGCACGAAGAAGTCCTTAGAGACGGCCCCCGCGCTCAAGTAATCGTGGTCAATCTTCCCTGTGCAAGCAGTCCGTCTCTAAGCTAGGAAACTGTCCCACTTTCGCGACTCCACAGCGAGCGAGGAATGTGCTGCAGCCGTCGAGACTTCTAGTTCTTACACCCGCTCACTTGTTGCAGATGTACTATGACGGAGGTTGCCCAGTTGTTCTCTGTTGAAGCAGCGGGCATCGACCGGAATAGCATGCTCATTTTTGCTGACCACACGCTCGTGCCCATGAGACGTGCTGCTTTCCTTTATTACACTCTAGTTCTCTACTAACGGTTGGGCGTGTATGAGTGTGTCACCCTATTAGAGCGGTTCTTCGCCTTCTTGTTGAAAAACGCATGCGACAAAAAGTGGTAGAAAACGAGTAATACGAAGCATATGATCCAGTGATCTTGTCACTTGTCCGCTTCAACAACTGATGTAGAACGAGTTTGGCACGGCGCCAGGACACAGCCGCACTGACACCCCCAATCGTCTGCAGCGAACTATAGTATACATTTCCTTCAAGCACAATATACATGTAACAGCAACCCATCTGCTAAGGTGAGACTTGTCAAATCAGCACTGATGTAGTTTTTTGGTGCAAAAGCTCGACACTGCTTACCGTAATCCTGAATTCGTATACGAAGTTTTTCGAAGTCTCTTTCTGTTACTACGTGTTTTGCATCAGTATTGTTGTGGACTTTTGTTTTTCTTCTCATAGCAATGGGTGACATTTAGTAAGGGAGATCAAAAAAGCGATTCGTGAGCCACTGGTTGCACAGAGACCCGCAGGGCGCTGTGACTGTCAGGGAGCAGTTTGTTTGTGGTGTTATTGGAGGTTCTTTTTGCTTTTTCCTTCTTTGTTTAATCACTTATAAGCTTCTAGTAAATAACTGAACACAGTCGATCACGAGAACTGTCTTTGAGCGTGCCTCCACCACTAACTAAGAGAAGGCTCAGGTCGAAAGTGGCCATTTGTGAGAGATGTAGATCACTAGGGGCGTGCTTTGGACGCTGGATTGGGAATTGCCTTCGAATTTGCCCAAAGCGAGTTCTCTGAACGGAAGCGTTTACCACGCAAACAGGTCATGGGATCGGATCCCTGCTGAGCTTAACTTTTTTGCTTGTTGCGCAAACGTGGCAAAAAGTGATTTTGCCGTCACTACTACTTCAGTTCTCACCTGAGCTTGTCTGAAGAAAAGTTTGCCTCCATTTATTACTGCGCTTGGACTCCTTGTAGAAGCACTGTAGTGCACTGTAGTCTACAAGGAGTCCAAGCGCAGTAATAAATGGAGGCAAACTTTTCTTCAGACAAGCTCAGGTGAGAACTGAAGTGACGGCAAAATCACTTTTTGCCACGTTTGCGCAACAAGCAAAAAAGTTAAGCTCAGCAGGGATCCGATCCCATGACCTGTTGCGTGGTAAACGCGGCTCCATAACTCCGTTCAGAGAATCGCTTTGCAAATTTTGAAGGCAGATTCAAGATCAGCGTCCAAAACCACGTCTAGTGATCTACATCACAAATGGCCACTTCGACCTGACGACCTTCCCTAGTAAGATTGTTAGCGCCTACTCTCTTTCGTCGACTAGCTCGGTTCAGTTTGGTTTTTCACTTATCGTTCCTTTTCTTTAGTTCGTGCTCTCGCTACATGTTAGAAGTTCGCACTTCTTGATCCTTTGTGAATTCCTCATTCATGTGAAGAAAGTGTCCACAAACTGTTTGTAAACACTTGCTTCTTATGAACAAGTCTTACATCATTAAAGCTGAACGACATCTGGGTATCGCTGTACTCCCCACTTCAGAAAGGGCCCTGTGCTCGACTCCCCTCCCTCCCTCCCTCGCGGTCAAATACCACCTCCCCTCTTGTGGTTATCACAACGGTGGCATGCCTTCTGCACAAGGAATTCTTTGACAAGTCAGAGCAAATCAATGGATTATTATGCTTCTTTGTGTTTCCTGACGCTGCGCTGAAGTAGTGCTGGTGCATACATTATCAAATCTTATCACAGGTGTGTTCGTTAGAAAACATCGCGACACGATCGATGATCACCTGCTTTCTCGTGGTGTTTTCACAGTACTTAGAACTAGAACTAATAGACTGACCCGTCGAAATCAGCAAACCAGTGCCGAGCCATGGAGTCAAAATACCATACTCGTCTCCTTTTGTTATCGTGTCCGATCTCTCGAGGACAAGCTGCAAAACCGAATTCTCTTAGTTATCAGCACTCAGAAAAAAATTATGATCTTTTTCGTGAGGTATCAGTTAGCGCTCACCGTACCTTGGCCGTTTCTGGTCTGATGCAGATTACCATTGGCCTTGTTCCCAACCACAATCGTACCAAGCCGTGTCCCTGACCTGCGTACATGAGGCCCCACTCCCTTAGTTGCATGGCTAGTCCTGAAAAGTCTTCTATGGTAAGATTAGAAGATTTGAAGACCCTTCGTGTATTTGTGTACTCACATCCGTGAACCCCGGTTCTCGCCGGGGGTTCACGGATGTGAGCATGTTGCGGTGGCGTGCCGCTTTCTCCGCTCAGAAGCTGTGCACTCATAAATCCTGGTCTTTGCCATGTGTCAGGTCCGAAAGTGCACGAAGGGCAGTGATGCCAGGGTGCCGTCTCCATACTCCGCCACAGGGCCAGTCACAAAACGCGCTACTTCTCTGCACCTCTTACTACTGAATTTCTCTACCGCTGAGTGCGGGTTTCGCAGGGATCTTGGTAACGACGCAAGAGCTGCACCTTGAGCATAGGGCAAGCGGAGTATGGAGATGGCACCCAAATGCCCCAGGCCTTCTACTTTGAGAATCTTGACGGCATTTTCGATCATTTGGCTCGGCCTCAAATTATTGGAAAACCTGGTGGTCAGCCTAAACGAGCAGTTTTGCAGTTTAACTTTCGAATAGCTGCGCCGTACTTTTAATACCCTTGTGTCATTTTATGTCATGCCAAAATTCTGTGATCAAAATACGTGATTACCCTTTGATTCCTATTCAATTGATTTCCAGAGTACCAGATATCCAGGTAGAGCTGATGTAGCGTACCCTTATCATAAGGGTTACGGGGATCCGGTTCCGTATCGGCCTGCACTCGAGCCAACTGAATCCTCTACCTTCCAGAGGCGTAAATTGGTGCCAGATTCATCTGTGAGGACAACAGCAGTGACTTGCACATCGCTGGCCCTCGCAAGTCATTGCATGGGGCACACAGCATTCAGTAACCTGCTACAGTCGTAGAAATATGAGTGCTAAACTGCCAAAAGGATTGATCATGGGCTAAGAATTCATCCATTTACCCTTTAGCTGACACTAAGGTTCACCACGACACTTCTCAGAATTTCTTGTTTGAAGGCAAGTGATGCTGGATATAGGAGTGCGTAGATGTCGCCGCGTTTACGGTAGTGGTAATTTGCACGATCCCAACGGGAAAAGCGTCCGAAATCGCCTTCAGATTCGTAAAGATCAAAACTTTTTCTGCAGGTTTTTTACCGTCTCACTACACTTTTTCATTTTTCTCACTATATAGCACACCCGCTACCATTTTAAACTGAGTTCCAAAGTTTTCATGCCTTATGCCTTTGAGATTCCTAGTCCAGTCTTTGCAAATGGGAGTTTTCAAGGGCAGCTCTTATTTCTCCTAAAAGAAATCAATGTTTTTTTCCTTGCTTTGCTTCTCAACGACATTCACTCGGGCATTAATGGCACTTGGCACGATAAACCCACAAAAGAGTGGGATTATTAAACCAGGCGAACGGAATTCCGCGACCCTGAGCAGGCGCTGCGTAGCGCCTTTTCCAAGGAAGGTGCCCTTATAAGGCCCTATCAAGCTACAACATACCGACCCGAACGCCCACCACGCCCGCCCGCCCACAAATGGACGACCGTTCTGATGCTCGTATTGCTTCATTTGCTGAAGTAAAATATGAAGCGAAGGGATTGGTATGAAGCGGCTGCGGTGCTGCATGGATATATGAGTACATACGTGCAGCCGTACCTACCGTAGCGGTTATTGGCAAGATGCCTACGGGAAACTCGTCCGAAATTGCTTTTCGAGTCATAAAGACGAAGGCTTTTCTTCGCGGCTTTTTGACTGTCTTCGTTTTTTCACCATTTTCCAGCTATATAGCACCCTGCTAGCATTTTTTTGCTGAGTACCAAGTTATCGTGTGAAGTGCCTTTAAGTCAAGTCAGGTATAAGGTCATGTCATCTTTCATCTAAATCACCTCACTCTAGAAACAATTACCCAAAATGATTGTTACAGTGGAGCGCTCACCGGACGGTGGGGCGTTCCCTACGACCACGCTGGCGAGCGTTCCGGTGATTGCGTGTCGATGGGAAGCCGAAAACTTTCAGGAGATTATCATCATTGCCTCTCCGTCTCTTACTCTGCACTCTGCGCTCTAACACACGCCGCCGCACCGTCTACCCACTCTTCCGCTCTGGACTCTTACCGATCGATAATTGCTCTCGATCAGCTGATTCCTGCCGCATTTTCGCAGTATTTTTGCTAGATTCAGCTTGTTAAAGCTGAAATTTTTCGACTTTTGACTTCAATGTTCGAAGGTGAGTATTCTTACTGAAATTCCACATTTTGCATGAATTTAGCATGAAATTCCCCTAGGAAACTTGTTTTTCTTTCGATTTTCGCAATTTCTCCAAACTTTTCCTTAATATCCCCATTTCTTTTATGTTATTGACCGAGTTTTCAAAGCAGTGTCTCAGATGTGATCTCGTTATTATCGAGAACCATCTCTGACTCGGTTCTGAAGCTCGAAGTCGCCTTCATGGCCCGCTTTTCCCATGATTTTCTTGAAACTGTGGGTCCGTGTACTTTTTTCTTTTCATTTTGGACTCTATCCTCAACTCTTGAAATTCGCTATCTTCATCTTTGAAAATTGAGATCGAAACCAGATGTTTCAGCTTTTACAAGCTGAATATAGCAAAAATACTGCGAGAATGCGGCAGGAATCAGCTGATCGAGAGCAATTATCGATCGGTAAGAGT